TTTTTGCAGAACCGAGGATTGAACTCAGACCCTTGCACTTGCCAGGAAAGCGCTTATTCTACTGAGCCATCTTCCCGGCCCCTCAGGAAATTTTGTTACAGAAACAGAAAATGAAATGATGTGTTTCCTCTTACAGCTCATGTCGCCCTGGCCAGTGCTGTGCTGATGGTCCCCACATATCTTCCAACCTTTGTCTTAGCCTGCCCCCAGGTGTCCTGGTGGCTGGAGACGATCAGGGCTGTAGCAGTAGAACACTTTGAGATGAACCACAGAGGCTACTTCAAAGCCATAGCGCTGGGGCTCACCTTCCTTGAATAGCTGTGGAGGACACAGTAGGTAAACAATGTGCCCCGAAAGAAGTACGTCTTAACTCCTAGAGTGAATGTGTTTGGAAATAAAAAGATGGGATCACATGGGGGTATGGTAGGTTTTGATGTAATAGCTGATGTGTTTGTAAAGTGAGGGAAATTGGGACACGCACACACGACACACACACACAGACACACATGCGCACACACACAGAAGCATCATGTGAGGCATCAGATATACAGACACACAGGGAGACTGTCACATGACGACAGAGACAAGACGCTGACGTATGCGTCTAAAGCCAAAGAATGTCACAGCCAAGGCACAAGGGGAGAGGATGGGATGGTTTCTCCCTGCTGAGGCCTGCACTGGGGATATCTGACATCCAGGACCACATGAGAATACGCAGCTATCCTGTTATCCCGCTTGCTCTGTGGCTCTGTGTCACAGCAGCCCCAGAAGGCTGAATTACAAGACCAGGATCATCACTCTGGTGCCACGCCTGACGTCCTGGGCCCTACAGAACAGACCCTGCCCTAGATGCTGATGGCCACGTCCAGCCTCTTCTCAGATGGGCCACTCTCCTCCCGGCCCCAGCACTGGAGTTACATCTGGAGACTCCTCTCACCCGTAATTATTCCTAATGCTTTAACACACAGTGACTAATGGGCTCTAATTGGACAGCTCCAGCACCGAGAGGTGGCCCAGGGATCTCGCTGATAGCACCCTCTGTGACCCACGGAGCCTCCCGTGGCTCACACATGGAGTGCAGGGGTCCCCAGGAAAAAACATTGGCTCGATTTTCTATTTTTTTAAAAAAAGAAGAATCACACCAGCACCAGCCGATAAGCAGTTTTATCCTTCACCTGACAAAGACAGGACAAAGAAAAGGACAGAGGAGAAACTGAAAACAGATGGAAGCGAACACCACGAAGGCCGCTGAGGTCGGTGGCATCTGTCTAGAGGCAGCCCGGAGAGCGCCGGGAGCAAACCCAGCACCAATTAGGGGAGGCTCGGCGAGAGCCAGGAAGATTCCAGCCCCGATTTCCTCTTCCCAGGGAAGAAGAGGGGAGAGAGCCCCACTCCTCCCTGACCGCACGGGGCTTGGGTGTGACTACACACATTCCAGTGCTACAGTGAGAGGGCTGGGCGCAGTGACATCACCAGCAGAATGGGGGCCTTGGAAGAAAGAACGTGAGATGTTTAAGAAACACAAAATTATTGGAGGAGGGAGGGGACAGAGAGAGAGAGATAGGGACAGGTGGGAAGCAGCTGAGGGGCCCCGGTCCTCATTTCCTGATCTCTGTAGCACGCTCCTGGAGCTGTTCCCGCAGCAAATGTCCAGGAGAGATTACAGCTTCGAAGCCCCATGTCCAACCTGAGCCCACTTTTCCAACTCCATGTGTCAACAGAGGGGAACCGCGAGTGTTTCTAAATGGACCCACATTTCCAAAGTTGGCTCAAGCTAGTCTTCACATTAAACTCAGATTGGAGAAGATACCATTAGAGAAGGAGGAGGCCCCACAGCATCCCTCAGCAGAACCTGGGGGGATGAGCCCCCATGCACAGGAATGTCCGTGTGAGTGTCAGAGAAACTGGCTGCTCCTCCCTCTCCGCATCCCCGCTGGGCAGACCACCGTGCCATGGGATGGCATGGAAGGCATGCCCACCACTGATTCGGGCAACCTGTGCCTCAGTTCAGCCCACGATGCCAGCACCCCTGTGATGGATTCTGGTTTAACAGCTTTTAAAAACAAGCAGACAAGAGACAGGCATGATGGATGAGTACAGGAAGTGTGCTCATCGGAGATGATTTATGGGAAAGTGTTCGTCACGCTCCCGGGTGCAGCGCAGCTCCAAGCGGCACCAGAGGACGACGCGCTCCCACCTGCACAGGGCGGGCAGCACGGCTTGACTTGCTCACCCACAGCCCCAGTGTGCGGTGCCCCTGCCTCAGTCACCTGCTGTCCTGCACAGAGGCCCCTTACTTCAAGCAGAGGACTTGGCTCCCCCTGGGCTCCTGGACAGTGGTGCTCCCACTCCTCAAAACCATCTGGGGAAGAGCCATCTGGCTGCACTTGCTGACTCTGTGGAGATAACCCTGCAATGTATAGTGACGTAGCTTGGGAGATTCTGGCTTGTCCCATGAGAGTGGCAGGGGCAAGGGAAGAGGAAGGGAGAACAATGTGTGACACCCCCCCCAAGCAGGGATTTGCTCCAGGATGCTGGGGGAGCAGGGTTGGGTGGGGTAGGGGGCTGTGTCTCCTCTCTTCTTGGACAGCCGAGGAGTCACCTGCCCAGGGCCTCAGGCATTGCATTTGGAGACAAATCTCACTTTTTTTTTTTTTTTTTTTTTTTTTCAGAACCAGGGATTGAGCTCAGGCCCTTGTGCTTGCCGGGGAAGCACTTATTCTACTGAGCCATCTCCCCAGCCCTGACAAATCTCACTTTGCAGCAGATTAATTTTGACCCATGTTTTAAAATAAGGACTTGGAATTTACCATTCAGTAAAACCCAAACTGAACCCATATGTGAAGGGATGAACTTTAAAACGGGATCTCACGGACGGGGTCCTTTCTAAGACAGAAGGAAGGATCTGAGCAGGGCAACGGCCTGGGAGGAATCTGCTCCCTTCCCGCAACTTGCGGAAGGGCTACTGCCCCTGGCCTAGATGGGCACCCACGGCAGGGGGGGGGGGTAGTGCCTCTCTGGAGCCCAAATCTGGGTCCACATGAAGAGTTGGAGCAGAACCCCATGGATCAAGGTACGGGCAGAGGTCAGGAGCCTGGCACACCTGGCTGCTGACCCCTGTGCCGGTCTACCTCAGACTACCACCAACCCTCCCCAGGCTGATTAAAAGACAGAACATCAAGGCCACACGCAGGCATCTGGGATGTGTGAGCCAGCCCTAAGCATGTCTCCATTAAGGTCCTCCCAAGCCTCTGGGGTCAGCAGAGTGACAGGGCGCCCACAGACATACCTTGGCACACTTATGACAACACTGAGGAGCCCTGTCAGTGTGTGATGGGGGTTGTTTCAAGCTTGGCCCCAAAGCTGGCCCCAGAAATCCCTTCGCATCCATTCTGAGTCCATGCTCCCCACCCCAGTCACCCTCCCAAGACAAGGTGGAAGCTCCCCAGCTGCGCCCTGTGGCTGCTCCAGCCTTCCTGCTCTGTCTGTTCCCACATAGGAGGCAGCAGTACCTTCATACAATGCAAACTGGGTCATTGAAGCCCTTGCTCAGGGACCGTGGTGAGCGCCCATTGCCCTTAAGACAAAATCCAACAGAACCAGCAAGGATTCTCACAACCTCTCTCCTTCCCCTTTTGCCACTCTCTGCTTGGCTCCTCAATCCAGCCTCACAAAGCTCTACCGGTTGCATTCGCCACCTGCCAGACCTTCCCACCAAACCAGAAGCCACTGTGATCCCCCACAGAGCACCCCGCCCCGGGACTTCTCTGTAAAGTGAAATCACCTCATAGATTCCCTCTCAGGTGCAAGCTCAAGAGTGTGCATAACAGGCTAGGAGGGAGCCTTACCTGGGGCCAGCAGGTGCGGAGAGTGTCGTCGCTGGGCAGGGGGGGGTCCCAGGGAGGTTCTGAGGTACAGTGTCTCTGGGAGAGCAGGCACCCCTGGAAGGGCTTAAGTTCTCAGGGGCAGAGTTTCAATCTGAAGGAAAAGAGAGAAAAAGCTTTCTGAGAAATGCATTTGAATCATTTGTCTTCATTTTAACCTAAACAAGTTCTAGTACATTATTAATAAAGGAGAGGAAAAGAGAGGAGAGGAGAGGAGAGGAGAGGAGAGGAGAGGGAAGGGAAGCACGGCCCAGCTTTGCCTCCAGGGATCAGCATCTCTTCTTCCAAAGAGCACTTTTGTTTGTCACGCCCAGGGAAATGAAAGAAATCTGAAGGAAAACAAACCACGGAACTTTGTTACTAAACAGCCGCACATGGGTCCTTCTGCTCTGGCCCCCCACCCCACTTTCTCTGGTTCCCCAGCTCTAAGGTGCTTGGATAGCACCAAGCTGCCCGTCTCCTCTTGGGCCTGCTCCTGCTTTTACTTCTGGAAGCCTTCACTGTCAGCCCTCCTGCAGCCACCTCGTCCTGCTCTTTGTGTGAGATTGGTCAGCAATGCTAGCGCCCTGGCCACAACCCTCCTACCGTCCCACTTCATTCAGAAACAATGTCCAAGGCTGGGGTGAGTCCAGCTTTGGGGAACCTGAGGTCTGCGGGATCTGGGAAACTCGCTCTCTAAGAAAATAAGGCAAACATACCAGCTGCTCAGCTAAGCAGCAGGCCCTTGTGGCTGACTTAGGCATTCGTACAGCGTGGTCCCTCGCACCTCCGCAGCCCTAGGTCCCCTCCACGTACCATATGCACACACCTCCCACCACATCCTGTGGAAGGGCCCTCCCTGCCTACTGCATGGCTTGGTCCCCTGCTCTCCTCTCCAGAGGGACTCTGAGAATGGCACTTCCCCAGGAGGCCGTCCCAGACCAGACACCCTGTAAAAATCACTGAGGCTTCTTGGTATCCCCTGGCCACGGGTTCTGCTTGAAGGCAGGAGTGAAGGAAAGAACCCTCACCCTTAGTCTCTCCCACTAATGCTCCTGGCTTGGCTTACAGCAGCGTCCCACCTGCAGAGCTAGGTTCCAAGAAGTGGAAAGAAGCTGGTGGATACTGTGGCTTCCAAAGTGGCAGAGGACGGTGGGCACCTTGGCCCTGGAAGACTTCTGTTTGCTGTATTTCCCCCACCCCAAATCATGTGCCTGCTGTCAGGACAGTAGAAGGCACACATGACTCGGCAGATCCGCTCCGTCTGCCCAGAGTCTGGCTCTGGGTCGTTACAGGATCGGGCTGGGAGTACCAGGGAATACGTGAGCTCCCCACCTCACCCCACTGACAGAAACCTTTCCACCCACCCATCAAGGCACTCTCAAGTCAGGGCTCTAAAGAAAAAATGCTACTACTGTTAAAACTCTGTTTCTTTTCCTAAAATTCAGCTACTTAAGCGAGCACAACCCCCACCCTAGTCATAGGTGCAGCACAACCTCACAGAGAGCCCTGCGGGCCCAGGGAGAGGCTCGGCAATGCCCGCCAGTACCACACTCAGCTCAGGCAGCCGCATACAGGTTCTGGGCACAGGAAGGGGTGGAAACACCCTGGCTCTGGAGGCAGGAGTGCCCTGTCCTATTTCCTCAGTCTGAAGACAGTGAGGGAGAGGCTTGGTTGTAGAGACAGGTGCGCTGGCCTCTGCAGGAGAAAGACAGGGCCCAGAGAAGGGAACCAAGTTGACTGCCGGTGGGCAGCTTGCTCTTGGACCTCAGGGCTGAGTTCTCAGCAGCTGACACACAAGGCAAGAGCAGCATTCACTCTGCAACAGGTCCTGCAGGGAAGAAGGTTCCGAGTGGGAGGTCTGAGCCTTCGCCGAGCCTGAGGCCCACTCCCCTTGCCCCTGGTTTCAGCAAGGCCAAGGAGTTGCTGCAACCAAAGTTTCTCTGGTCTCTCAGAAGTTTCAAAGAGATCACACACGATGCTCTACGATCCAAGCGCTGGATGTGACACCCAGGAGCCGGCTCTCACTCTCCCAGGTCACCCATTCTGCACACAAGTCTCCCACAGGTTGGATGGTGCCTGGAGACTCCGTCCTGCTCTATCCTCTTACCACCTCCAACACAGAGAATGCCTGGGCTGGGGTGGGCTGGCTGGGCACCCTGTCTGGCAAGGCCATCCTTTTACCCTCATCTGTTCTGTTCTCTGGCCTTCGAAGCAGACAGAGCTACCTGCTGGGGCCGTGGGGGCAGCACAGGAAGGCATCAGGAACAATGGGCATCACACAAGGACACGAGGACAGAATCTATTCCTGGGAGACCCAGTTGCTTAGTGGAATGGGTGGGGGACAAAGATGGACATGTGAAAGCTGCCTGGCCAAGACACCCACCCAGGGTCCCTGGTACCTTTGTCCAATGAGGACAGAGAAAAGGACCAAAGACAAGGAGGCGAGGGTGGATAGATAAAGGGACCTGCCCTGCCCCCTCACCACCACTTTGGTCTTTATTGTAAATCCTGAACCCCATTCCACCTATTCCAGAGACAAATTCCTTTGCATCTCCCCGCCCAGAGCTGAGCCACAAACTAACCCCAGAAAGAGGCACCCCCAGCACCCCACCTCTCTCACTGTGCTCCCCTGAGCCAGCTCACCCATTATTTCCCTTTAACACATCCTACACAGCCCGTCTGCAGCCACTGGCTTAGAGGCTGAAGATGCCACAGCTGTGGGCGGGGACCCACCCCAGCACTGGCACCTACCAAACCAGCCTACCCCCGAGTGTCCAGGACAAGGGGCAGCCTGCGCCCTCCATGACCCTCCTAGCTGCCCTGCCAGGCCTTACCAAAGGGCCCCACCAACATGGTTTTGCTTTCCTCGACCTGAGCCGAATGGGAGATAATAGAACAGCCTATCCCCTGTCCTTGTTTGTAAAGGCGCATCTTTGTTCACTTTGCAGATGTACCCAATACCCATCAGCGTGCACACAGAACACAGGACCATAACCTCAGGGCCCCCAGGCATCAAGCTTGGGGGGTGCTGGCCTTGTTGTATGTGTCCTTGCTCCAGGATCATATGGTGAGGTCATGGGAGGCAGATGGCAAGAAAGTAGCCTCAGAGCCTGTCTTGTTGCCCTTAGGTAGGCTGGAGAGTGGCAAGGCCTATGGAGGGTGGGTGTCTGGCTGAGTCTGCCCAGGGCCCCGGGGTCCAGCGCTCAGTCCTCGCCACCCTGATTCGCCGTTCTCATGGGCGAGTGTCCGGTGTGTCTCTTTGGGGTGTGGGGAGCTGCATCCTTCTTTCTCTGAAGCACATTCATTGCAGCCCATGGAGAGCAGAGTGCAGAGCCAGGCCCCTGCCGTCCAGCCTTGGCAAGCATGCTGTCCAGTGCAGGAGCACATGGGGTGCGTCCAACTGTTGACCTTCAAGCCAGAATGTTGTCCCGAGCCTTCTCAGCTCTCCTGTAGTGGGTGAGGAACTCTGAGCCCACATCCCATCTCTCTCTCTCTCTCTCTCTCTCTCTCTCTCTCTCTCTCTCTCTCACACACACACACACACACACACACACATACACACACACACACACAGGCTGCACCTCTGACTCCAGGATCCCAGAGATGGTGGAGCACAAAGGTCATTGTTCTATTTCTTTTTTTTTTTCTTTGTGGTACCAGGGCTCAAACTCCAAACCTTGTGCTTGCTAAGCAGGCACTTATGCTGCTGAGCTATATCCCTGGCCCTGCAAAGGTCATTGTTGACTACAACTTTTGAGTCCTCCTTGATCCCTCTACCTGCTTCTTTAAGATCCAGCCCATTTGTTTTAATGATTGAGACCCCCTCCAAATAATTTCGGGTCCCAAGGATGCTTAAGTGTCTCAGCAAGCCTGAACATGGGCAGTGGGGGACTCGGAAGCTAGAAAGTGTTGATTAAGTGTGAGCCTGTCCAGAGATAAAGTTATGCCCCACAGCTGGACAGAAAACTCAGTCTCAGAGAAGAATGGCAGAGACCATCCCCAGACATAGCTTCTCAGCTAGTCTCCTTGCCCACCACATGGGCTGGCCACTCCAGCCTCTGGCCGCTGAGCCAGCCAGCTCCCAACTTTGTCCCAGTGACAGGAGGCCTGGGGCTACCATAGGTGCATGGATTGCAAAAGGTCTCTCCTGTGATTCTTGTCACTGGGACGATACACTGGAAAAAAGCAACATCTTGACTTCTAAAAAGCATCATTCTGTGAAAAGTAAGCCACACACAAAGGGGGAAGGAGATGGGGGAAGGAAGGGGGACAGAGAGAGAGAGAGACACTAAAGGAGGGACAAGGAACTGTGGGGGCCAAGGCAGTCATGCAGCCTGAACATAGGGCCCTGGGGGGATAAGGCAGAGATGGAGTTAAAGTTATCACAGCCATTGGAGCAGCAGCCAGGCCCTGGCAAAGAAGAGGTGGGAACATGGGGCCCTGGGACAGGAAAGAAGAAAGCAAACACGGGAGGAGCTGCTGGGGCTGACCCAGATGGCCTTAGACAGAGGCCTTGCCCATGGTCAGAGCATGGATGTTTGTCCACCGGGAGGTCCAGAGTGATGGGCAAGCTTCTGCCAGAAATACAGGAGTCAAGATGAGGCTGGGAGAACCCAGGCAAGCCATCACTGTCAGCACTCATGTGTCATCAGGAAAGGACAAACCTCTAGGACGCAAGGAGGGCAGACCTCTCTTGGTGTCTGTCCTTGGTTATGAGAGATGAAGCTAGGGAAGAGGAGGGAGAGGCCAGGTAGGGTGGGCCATGTGCATGAGGCAACCCTGAAAACAGGTAGGGGTTAGACGAGGCTGCAGGTGTCACTTCCGTGCCCCAGGATGCTGATGCCCAAGGGTGGGGTGCAGCAGAACGACCTTCACAGTCTCCACAGCAAAGCAATCGAAGCCCAGTCAAGAACTCCAGGTCCCGAGACCCCTCGCATCCTCTGTGGCTTCTGCCAAGAGGAGCCTGACAGCAAAGTGTAGGTCCAGGCTTCTCCCCAGATCCCAAAGAGGAAGGTACACTTGGACTCCAGGACGCGTGGGCAGCCTGGGGACATCACCGATCCTTATAAACTAAGGCTCATATGAGGCAGTGGTTTTGTTTAAGGGCAAAAG